GCCAACATGTGCAAACACACACACACACACACACACACACACAAAGAGGAAGGCAAAATTGCTGAAAAGTGACTGAGAGGTCCTCTGGTTTTTCATTCAGTGACAAGAACTAAAGTGACAGGAAGAGTCCCAGGAACAGTGCTGGGCCCAGAGAGGGATCTCCTCTCCAGTCACTCCAGCCTCATTCCCACTCCACCCAGCCGCACCTGGCATCTTTTAACACCACACAGAGAGGGGAGGGTAGATCCTAAAAGAGAACACAAATAGTGAGTGGAAGCCATTGAGCCTGTTAGCAGGAGGTGAGAATTTGAAGCAGCTTAGCCTTCATAACCTAAGGCAGGCAGCCATCTGTTTCCCAGCAAACAGCAATGAGGGAAAAGTGGCAGCATTTCCAGAGTTTGTGCTGGGTGTGGCCTTCAATTCTCTCTACCAGGAGGAACAAGAGCCCAGATTGGATCGCCTAATGTGTCCTCTGTCACTCACTACTGGGTGATCCCAGGTAAAAAAATGAATTTCCCTGAGTTTTCAGACCTTCCTCCAAGAGGGTTGGGGGTGGAAAAAAAGGGGTCTAGTCTAGAAAGTTCTTCTCGGGATGGAATAGGCTGATAAACGGCAGGCACTTAGTCAGTGCTGATGGGCTGCAAACAACAAATGCCGGTGACGACAGCTCCTCTCACATTCCTCAATATTTTTCCCGCCCCCATTTAAATTTTACCTGTGTCTGAGGCACTTGTGTGCATGTCTGCGTGTGTATGGAGGCCAGAGGAGAGCTTCAGGTGTCATTCCTACTCAGGGGCCTTCCACCTTGTTTTTTTTGAGACAGGGTCTCTTGCTGGAACTTGAGGTTTACTATTTGGCTAGGCTGGCTAGACCATTCCAGGGATCACCCTGTCTCTGCCTCCCCAGAGAAATTATGAGTAAATGCCACCACACTGTATTTTTACATTAGATGCTGGGGGTTCGAACTCAGGTCCTCGTGCTCACACAGCAAGTGTTTTATTGGCTGAGCTACTTCCCCGGCCCCTCTATTTCCAATGGCTACTTCAATGGTAGGCCAAACAGAGAGAGGAGAGTCTCCTCTACTGTGACACTGGAATTGCTGCCAATCGTCTCTCTGACCTTTTTTGGTTTACAGACTACCCCAGCAAAGCCACATGTTAATGAAAACACTGTTCACTGTGTGGTCTGGCTGGGCGTGGAGCAGCCAGATAGGGGAAAGTATTGAAGCGCATCAGTACTAGTCATTTCCCACAGAGCAGCGTGAAGACCAGTCATGCCTTATACATGTAGAGGAGATGACACTCCTGTCCTCCTCTCTGCCCCAGGACCACAGACAGCAACTGACCTGCACTGTCAGGGAAGACAAAGAGGCCCAGTGCTGGGCCATGCAAGCTGAGCACCAGAGCAGAACTGCTCAGGATCTAGCAGGTGCTTAATGGAGATAGAGAACCTTCTAGAGATCAATGAGATATTGCTTGGCAGGTATGAACCAGACCCTCTTTCTCTTTTCCAATGAAGTTATCAATACAATAACCCTGATCATGAAATCTTTGTAGAGTTGGTTCCCCCATCCCATCCCTCCTTGGCCTAGTGCTGAGTCACATCAGGAACCAGAAACAAGAGGGAGGTCACATGGGGACTTGCTGTACAGAGACACTAAGTTGATACAGAGTTAACCTGACGGAACTTGTTTCTTCTTGGTAAGAAACAGCACTTGGCAGCAGCACTGTGACTGTCCTCCTTTCACGTGCATGGAAACTGCAGTGACTGAGAAGATGACTTGCAAGATGAGAGCTTTATGGAGGTTAATGAAAGGTCTATGAGATCATCAGTCCCATGCAAACATCATGCTTTTCCCCCCTTTGGTGCTGGGGGTTAGAACCAGGGCCTTGTATATGCTAGAGAAGAACTGCATTGCTGATCTACATCCTCGGTCCCTTTCTAAATTTCATTTTTGAGATGTCATCATCCCAAGTTGCCAAGGCCAGTCTTCAACTTGCCCAAAGAAGCTGAGACAGCGAGTGCATGGCACAGCACCTGCCAAAGACAGACTTCAAAATTACATAACTTTGACTCCAGAGTCTTGCTCCTCACCAAGGCCTGATTTACTGACTGCTGATTACTGTTAGGGAATCAGGCTGTGCCATTTGCTGGCCCTTGAGCTTTCTCCTGCTACTGACTAAAACTCAGGAACAGATGTCTTGCTCCCTCACCTGTCCAGAACTTCTCTCTAGGGAATAAGTCCAACAGAAAGGCCTTCCAAAAGCAAGCCGGGTGCTGGTCAAGGACAGAGTAACAACTGAGAATCTTTGATGTCCAACAGTGCGTACTCACTGAGAACCAACCCCGTGTTTACCATGTGCCAGGGGCTCGGTAGAGCATTACCAAGAATTGAGAAGTACTTTTGTACTAAGATAGGGACTCTGTCCTCAGAACACTGAAAATAGTTGGGAAGGTAGGCATGTATAAAATTAAATATATGTGGGTTAAGAATGTCTTAATTGAGGCTGTCTGAATTTACCATAAATGAGGAACAGATGAGAGCTCTGAAATCTGAGAGCTGGGATCAGTTGCCTCTCCTTTGGGCCTCTAGGGAGCTGGAGAGGTATCCTGCAGCTGATCTGGAAAACAACTACTCAGAGGAGAGGAGCACATGGAGCGATTTCTAAAACAAGGAGGAGCAAATGCACAAAGGCCCTCAAGTGGCGAGGCTGGTACAGGGGCATCTGTTTAGCTGGAGGTACCCAGGAAGAGGAGCCAGAAAAGGAAGAAGGGAAGGAAGGAGGGCTACAGAGGGCCTTCAAAGACAGGGGCTCTTGGCTTCATCATGGGGATTTGCCATTGTCACATGGCATGGTAGCCCAAGTGTTCAAGGTAGTCCCCATGGTGGGGCTCTTGAGAGAGCTAGATCTAGTACAAAGTCCAGGTCACTGGGGTGTGTCATCAAAAGCTCCAGTCCCTTCGCTCTGTTCTCTAACTTGTGATGTGAGTGGTTTCACTCTGCCCTCTGCTGCCACCATGGTGTGGTGCCTGGGACAAAGCAACAGTGACTGGGTCATGAGGAACCGCCAACATTGTGAGCCCAAAACAAACATTTTCTCTTCATCAGTTGATTATCTCAGGGATTTCATTATAGTAACAGAAAGCTTGACTAACACAGGATGCTATGCCAATTCCTACCAGTAGGGTAGAGAGTATGTCTTAGTTTGTAGAGTGAGCCTAGCATGCTTAAAGCCCTGGCTTTGATTCCCAGCGATGCTTAAAATCTGACATGATAAGTAGTGTCTGATTTTTGTAGACCTAGTTCTCATGAGGTAAAGGCAGGAGGATCAGAAGTTCAAAGTAATTCTTTACCTTCTTGCAGTGCTGTGGACCACTGTCCTCTGAGCATTGTGGCCAGTACTGTCTGCATGAGAGCAGCTGAAACTACCTACAGGAGAGTCTCAAGGTCGGGCTCGCTGTTTCTTCGCAGAAGGGGCTGAGGAGGGTCATCAGATCCTCACTTGACATTCTAGATACTCCTTCCAATACCTCCCCCTCCCAAGCTGCAGGTGTTAAATATATTGAGTGTAGGGGGTTAACTAGAAGGGAGACACCACCTATACAAATGTGGGAGGTTGCCATCCATTTCCGGGTGGCACCTGGCAGTGATGTGACTGCTTTGGGGTCACCCATGCTCCTGTTAGTAACTTCTTACCTACACTCTGTAAGTAAGCCCAACAAGCATTGGTTGGCCAAGTTGGACTCTGGTGAAATCATTATATTGGTTGGTCACTGGTGCTCTATCTGGGGTAAGTGGAGTGTTTTTGTCGCCCTAGGGAAAGTTCACAAACCAGAAGGGAGATCCAAAAGTCTAGTTTGCAAAACCATGTGGGAAACAGCCCTCCAATCATCTGTGAGAGGCAGAGAATAGGAGCCCTGAGGGGCAGGATCAGTGGATGGGCTTAAGTAACTGCAGCACAGTAGTGTCTGTGTGTGTGTGTGTGTGTGTGTGTGTGTGTGTGTGTGTGTGTGTCCGCGTGCGCGCGCGTACACACTTGGGGCATGCCACACCCCTCCCACAGTACTTTGCATGGAAGCTGGAGGCAGTGGCATTGTATCTTGGTACCAGCTGAGGAGTCAGGAAGGAGGATCTGAAGTTCAAGATAAGAACTTTGAGGATAGCCTGGGGTACATGAAAACTTGTTTAAAAAGAAAATTTCAAACCTAAACTAACCAATCAAAAGGTTAGCAAAAAATGGAGAAAGGAGAGGAGCAAGATCAATCCAGAGACAAGTTAGATTTAACTATCAACTTGACACAGCCTAGAGTCACTTCAATTAGCTTAATGAGGAATCATCTAGACCAGATTGGTCAGTGGGCAGGTCTGTGGAAGGCTGCCTTGACTATGAATTGATATAGGAAGACTCAGCCCATTGTGGGCAATACCATTCCCTAAGCAGGGGCTCCTCAACAGTATAAGAAAGGAGAAAGCTAGCAGGAAGCAAGGGGGCCTGCATGCATTGATTTCTCTCTGTTGTGGGTGTGAAATGACTCCAAGTTCCTAGACTGTGACTTCTCAGCTATGATGGATTGGACTCCAGAATTATAAGTAAAATAAATATTTTCCTCCCCTGTGTTTCACTTTATCAGGGTATTTGTCACAGCCACAGAAATGCAAGTAGGACACAAAGTGTTAAACAGCATTCACAACAAACGGGAATAGAACCAAGAGACCTGACTGATGCCAGATCACCAGGAGAATGGTAGGCAGGAAGGCTGGGTGGCAGATAACCTCTCAGGGGCCCAGGTGGCCAGAGTTGGCAGTACATGTATCTTTATGTAGTACTAGATGTTGTGGCTAGGTGGGAGGCAGGGATCAAGTAGCCCAAACTCAGGGTTCCCTTGCAAAGGGGTCGTTTTGAGCATAGCAACTCAATGGTACCAAGTTCATGGGCTACCATCAGACTGAAACAAATGAGCAAGAACTTAAAAATATGACATCCCACCAAACCACTGACCTCAAAACACTTTTCTCTCTTTGCTTGGTGAAGCAGGTTGGCCATTCCAGGGAGCAGAACTGGAAAGATGAACATTTCCAGATAATCTTTGGAGGAACCTGAAACAAACATATTCCCACTGAAAATTCCGAGACCTAGGTTCATCTGAAAAAGACATTTACTGCTTAACAGAGAAAGAGGGAGGGAGAGAAGAAGGGAGGGAGGGAAACATATTCCATCTGAGCTGGGGCTATAGCATCTCAGTTGGCCAAGTGCTTGCCTAGCATGCAGGAAGCCCTGGCTTTAATCTCTGGAACCCAAGACACTGGGTGTGGTGTACACCTGTAGTCATAGCACTCAAGAAGTATAGGCAGGAGGATCAAAAGTTCCACACAAGCCTTGGCTATATAGAAAGTTCAAGGCAAGATTGGGAGACCCTGTCTGCAAAACAACAAAACAAAAAAGTGCCATCTATAGGCTGGAGAGATGGCTCAGAGATTAAGGGTATTGGCTGCTCTTCCAGAGGTCCTGAGCTCAATTCCCAGCAACCACATGGTAGTTTATAGCCCTCCATAACGAGATCTGGTGTCCTCTTCTGGCATGCAGGCAAACACGCAGACAGAACACTGTATACATAATAAATAAATCTTTTTTAAAAAGTGCAATCTACTCAATAGTATAATCTTACTTGTCACCATCTGCTTCAGGTTTCTGAGTGGTACTGGGTTACTAAGAAACTAAGTTTGGCCCTGTGAGCCTCTAGACTCTATCTATCAAGGGTGGTCAAGTCCTACCTGGGTCAAGTTCTCACCTGCTTACAGCACCCAGGCAGTCACAGCACAGAGGCCAGTGTCTGTAGGAACAGTGGGGTGTGAGCATGAGGTACGATGGGAACTGAGGCTAGAGAGAAGCTGGGATAGGGGAGTATGACAGATGGGGCCTGACAGCCACAATAACTGCACCAGTGCCTGACCAGGGCCCAGAGCAGAACACATAAAACAAACAAGAAGAAAGAACATAGGGAGGGCCTCATGAGCTGGGGCTCAATGGGGCCAGCAAGATAGACCTGGAAGTCTGGCAAGAGACTTTCTTCTAAGATATGCATCTGTTTACCCTTACTGTTTCTAGCTTAGTAATTAGTAGAGAATCACAGTGCTTGCTACATTCTTTCTGCTGAGTGATAACTTTTCAAAGATGTCAGGGATCCAACAACATTCTTCTATGAGGCTGGGAAGCTAGATAGCTTAGCTCAGGTCCTGAGTTCAACTCCCAGCACCAATGTGAACAAAGCTAGGTGTGGTGTGGGCTTGTGATCTCAGTGCTGGGGGGATTCCTGGGGCTCACTGGCCAGCCAGCTCTAGGCCTGTCTCAAACGACAAAACAAAACCAAGAGCTACAATGCAGACACTGACTTGTCTGACCACTCCCACCCTACCCTGTGAGTTGGAACATTATACCCAAAACGACATAAGATGAAGGCTCTCCTCCTTACTTACAGGTCTTGGGCTCTACTGTTACTGCCTTCATGGGAGGACAAGGCTCAGGAGACAACACTGGAAACGGGTGCCCTGGGAGGTAGTGCTCCATGTTGAAGCCATGAGTAACCACTTCTTCCATTGGCGTGCCCTACAGGCAGTGGGGTAGGGCAGTGAGCTCCAAAACAACTTCAATAATTGGATTTTCCTTATTTTTAATTTCAAAATTCAACTTATTTATGGGAGCATACACACATCCACAGCACATATGTGGAGATCAGAGGACAGTCTGGAAGTTGGTTCTCTCCTTCCACCCTTTGCGTCTAGGAACTGAATTCAGGTTATCAGGCTTAGCAGCAAGCATCTTTACCCATCAAGCCATCTCACCAGTCCTCTGTATCATCATCATCATCATCATCATCATCATCATCATCATCAGGTTTTTTGACTTTTTCAATACAGGGTTTCTCTGTGTAGCCCTGGCTGTCCTAGAACTCAATTTGTAGACCAGGGTGGTCTTGAATTCAGAGATCAGCCTGCCTCTGCCTCCCAAGTTCTGGGAATAAAGGCGTGTGCCACAATGCCTGATTTTTTTTAATAACCTTATGAGGGAATGAACTTCTGTAACAGACAAGTTGGGGAACATTCTGGATAAAAGGGATAATTTTCCTATCACCTATTTATATCATCAATCAACTATCTATCTATCTATCATCTATTTACCTACCTACCTACCTATCCATCTACCCAATCATCTCCTACTGGTTCTGATGCTCTATATAGCCCGAAGGTTCTTGGCTATATAGAAAAATAGTCTCAGGCTGCCATTTAAGATTGTACACAACTAAAGCTCTATACACAGATCAAGAAATTCAACAGTATAAAAACCAGGACCAAGCCGGGCGGTGGTGGCGCACGCCTTTAATCCCAGCACTCGGGAGGCAGAGGCAGGCGGATCTCTGTGAGTTCAAGGCCAACCTGGTCTACAAAGTGAGTTCCAGGACAGCATCCAAAGCCACAGAGAAACCCTGTCTCGAAAAACCAAAAAAAAAAACAAAACAGGACCAAAAATTATAGCCATGGCTGGGCATGGTGGTACACACCTGTAAACCTAAACCCACACCTGGGAGGCAGAGTAAGGAGGACCACCACAAGATCTTGTCTCTAAATAAATAAATAAATAAAGCAAGCAAAATTGCCACAAGACCTTGTCTCTAAATAAATAAGTAAAGGAAGCAAAATCACCACAAGGCCTTGTCTCTAAATAAATAAGGAAAGCAAGCAAGAGCCAGATATGGTGGTGCACTCTTAGCACCTCAGCACTCTGAAAGCCGAGGCAGGAGAATCAAGAGTTTAAGGTCATCTGAACTACATGTGCAGTTCCAGGCCAGCCTAGTCCCATTTATATAGTGAGACCCTGTCTAACAAACAAAACCAAAACCAATAAATAGAACAAATATCCTTAGAAAAAATAATTCAGGAAAAACAATGAGAATTAGTGTCTGCAGAGACATTTGTATAAGAACTGCACCACAAAATAAGAACAGGATGTTAGCAAAAAGCAGCAGTCACAAAACAAGAAAGAGCTTTAAATACAAGAATCTGTCAAAGGCCACTATGATAATGAAAAGTACTCAACATCTACAGAATTCAATTTTGGTTCATCCCTATGACCTTGCTGAAGTCCCTTTACCTATTGAGTCTTTAAAAAAATTAGGCTGTCAAATGTATGCAATTCCAAGGTATATTTCCAAGGGTACTCCCTTCTTGGCTGCTGGTCTTCTCTCAGCACACAGAGAAGCCTGCTCTATCCACAACTGTCACTACATAGATCCATTGCAAGCATCTTTTACAGCGTGAGATGGTCATAAGGAAATGTGAGCTGCCCCATTTAGTATAATCTACTGCTAAGGTCAAAGTGCATATATGATGATTTTTAAGCCACTCTGCCAGTGGCCATGTCAGAGGAGCAGCAGGTGGCAACTGAAGTTCAAGGTGTCAGCACAGCAGGAGGAAACTCTCTACTGGATCAATCTCGGACAAGCAAGGCCCTGAGACCACAGACCCCAGAATGTCTTTTGCTTCTGCTGTGCCTTTACATGTCTGCTGCTGCTATCTTTCCCTGGTGTCTGGCATGGAGTGAATGGGTATGGGGAGATCTCCACTGCCTATAATGTAGTGTGTTTATCTCATGGTAACATCCTTTTCTGCTGGGCATTTTTACATGTGGATTATTATGAAGATGATTCCTCCCTAAGCTGTACTGTCTAATTGATAATAATAATGTTAGCTTATACAGAGTTTTGATGAATTAAAATAAACACAAGGAAATGCTACACAGTCAGGGCCTATGAATTGCACCTAAGGAGCTGCACAGACCATGGCTCAAGTTAAAGATTAAGGAAAACAACTGAGTCCCTAGGAACTAGGATGGCTCTAATTATCTTAATGCTGAAAGATGCAGTCACAGGTTTTGGTGTGTATCATTAGCTGAAACAAAGCTTTAAAATAACTTCAGGTTAGATCAGATGTTTTGATAATAGCTTTGAGATGAAAAACCCTAGAAAACAATCTAAAGTTCACAAGGACACATAGCTGAGGTAAAAAAAAAAATACAAAGCAACCCAATTGTTACTAGCTGATATGCTTTCCTTGCTAGGGTTGGTTGATGATCAAAGGTGATGATTAATTCCTTACACCCATTTCTGCCCTCAAGATATATATAATTGATGAGTGGATATGCACCCTAAAGGTTTAAAGTAGAGTTGACTGATTCTTTTTCATATATAAAAGTTTATGTTTATGATACATTTAATATTCCTTATAAGATTACCTTTTAAGATAAATAATAAAGTAATTGGCCTTTTCTTTGTAACTGCAAAAATGCATCCTGACTGAGAGGAATATTGCTTGCATACATGGTTAATCTATAACAAGCTGCTTGAGTACATGGGTTCTTGGGATACTTTGTCTTGCACCTATAATATGTAATCATGTTAGGGGATATAGAAAACAACCACATTATAAATCCTACATTGCCTGAAAAACTTTGTAGGGGTTATATTAGCTGTAGAAAAGACATATGCAGTAAAAAGAACAAAGATAATAGAAAATAAAGAAGGAAACCATCAAGAGAGAGCATAAGTGTCTTTTTCCCTAATCCCTCAGATAGAAAAGTCTATTATGTGCTGATGCTGTGGATTCCTTTCCAGCCCTGCACTCGAAGCTACCCACCAGGCAGTGATACCACCACTCCCTTCTCAGAAGGATAGTGTTGCAAGTTCTAGTTCCATTGTCTCCCCTCTCTCCCTCCCAAGCCAGGAGGTGACCTTCAGGGTTACTGGTGCTGCTTCCACTGCGTATTGGGCAATACTCACCGAGCTCACTGTAACAGCAGCTCCCTGTTTCACTTTATATCCTTTTGGAAGGGTAGGCAGCTCGGCTTCATACTCTACCGGGAAGGAGAAAGTGTTCAATTGCACACTCCATTGACATTTGTGATGCAATTTCCTTCTTGGAATAAAACATTCTTAAACTTTATTTCACTGGGTACTTTACATAAATGAAACAAAGCTGCTCCTTGCATGTTTTGATTTATTTATTCAAATAAATCAGTACTGGGATGGAACCCAGGACTCTGCAGTGTAAGTGCTCTCCTGCTGAGCTATATCCCCAGCCCCAACAGGTTGATTTCCTTATGGTGCCTTATTCAAAATGAGTAAGATGTTTGTCCCTTGCATGAAAGTCAAGGCTTTACATTAGAGTCTAAGACTCTTCCTCAAACACTACAACTTCAGACTTTGCGCAAACATTATGGTAACTACAAGGGCAAAGCAGAATAAAACAATGTTAATAAGACAATATGGTGGTTTGAATGAGAATGCTCCCATCTTAGTCAGGGTTTCTGTTGCTGCAACAAAACACCATCATCAAAAAGCAAGTTGGGGAAGAAAGGGTTTATTTGGCTTTTGCTTTCTTATCACTATTCATCATCAAAGGAAGTCAGAGCAGGAACTCAAACAGGGCAGGAACTGATGAAGAAGCTATGAAGGGGTGCTGCTTACTGGCTTGCTCAGCCTGTTTTCTTATAGAACCCAGGACCACCAGCCCAGGAAAGGCAACACCCACAATGGGCTGGGCCACCCCCATCAATAACTAATTAATAAAATGCCCTACAGCTGAATCTTATGGAGGCATTTTCTCAATTGAGTCTCCCTCCTCTCTGATGACTCTAGCTTGTGTCAGGTTGACATAAGACCAGTCAGCACAACTGACTCCTTGTCAATTTGACACACAAGCACCTTTCCTTTCTTATCATCCCCAAGATATCACATGAAAAGCATAAATAGCTGGGTGGTGGTGACTCACGCCTTTAATCCCAGCACTTGAGAGGCAGAGGCAGGAAGATCTCAGTGAGTTCGAGGCCAGCCTGGTCTACTAAGTGACAGCCAGACTATAACACAAAGAAACCCTGTCTCGAAAACAAACAAACAAACAAACAAAAAACTCCTCCAAGAAAAAAAAACCATAAATACATATATCGTTGAGCAATGATAATGCACACCTTTAATGCCAGCCAGCACTAGGGAGGCAGAGGCAGCAGATCTCTATGAGTTCAGAGCCAGCCTGATCTACAGAGCTAGTTCCAGGACAGCTAGGGCTATTACACAGAGAAACCCTGTCTCGAAAAACCAAAAATCAAACAAAAAAAAATTTTTTTGGTTTTACGAGACAGGGTTTCTCTGTATTGTTGTGGAGGCTGTCGGTCCAGCCCGGCCTCGAACTCACAGAGATCCGCCTGCCTCTGCCTCCCGAGTGCTGGGATTAAAGGCGTGTGCCACCACCACCTGGCCCAAACAAAAAAGTTTAAAAGTCCTACAGTTTCTATAAATTCAAACACATTAAATTTCTTTCCCTTTAAAATATCCAGTCTCTCTAAAAATCCAAAATCTCTTAAAATTTCTGTCTTTCAGCTATGGGCTCCTGTAAAATTCAAAATTAAATTAAATATTTCTTTGAGAAATAAGAACCAGGATAAACTCACAATCGGAACCAAGCAAAACCAAACTCCAACAGTGTAAATAACTCAATGTCCAATCATCAGGGATCCATCCACTCATGATCTTCTGGGTTCCTCCAAGGAGCTTCTGTACTTCTCAGCCCTGCCCTCTGCAGCACACACATCTTGTCTTCTGGGCTCCAGCTGGCTCCACTCCACTGCTGCTGCTGTTCTTGGTGGTCATCCCATGGCACTGGCATCTCCAAAACACTGGGGTCTTCTGCTGCGACTGGGCTGCACTTTCACCAATAGCCTCTAGTGGGCTCTCTTAATGGTGCCAAGCCTCAACTTCTTTGCATAACCCGTTAGTCCTGGGTCTCCAACTGCCACTGAGGCTGCACCTTTACTAATGTCCTCTCCTGGCCTCTCATAGTGCCAAGCCTCAGCTGCTCTCCACAACTTCTTCATATCTTCCAAACCAGTAGTACCTGGGTAACTCTTACACTACCAAATTTGGTTGCCAGTGGTCACCAAATATAACCTTGGTCATCTCTAGAACACAGCTTGTGTATGCTGACTCTCAGGAAATATTTCACAGAAGAGCTCACCTCAGGGATGCTGGTCTCTTCTTAATCACTTCTAATCTCTTAGCTCCAGAAGACCAGCATCAAGTATCCCAGGAAAGCAAAGATTTTGCTTTAGTAGTTCTGGTATCTTGTTAATCACAGCTGATTCTTCAGTCCCAGCTAACCAGAATGACAGACTTTTAAATCAAAATAGTAAATGGCAGACTCTTTAAAATTCCCTTTGAAACTTCACAGGCCTCCATCCTCTACACTACTTTCAACATTCTTATCTTCCAAGCTCCTAGAGAACAACCTACTGAACTCTCAACACTCAATGGCTCTTCTAGCCCAAAGTTTCAAAGTCCTTCCATAATCCTCCCCTAAAACATGGGCAGATCTGTCACAGAAATACCCCCCACAGTCCTGGTACTAACTTGTCTTAGGGTTTCTATTGTTGTGATGAAACAATATGACCCAAAAGCAAGATGGAGAGGGAAGGGTTAATTTAGCTTACATTTCTGCTCATTATTAAAGAAAGTCAGGACAGGAACTCAAACATGACCAGAACCTGGAGGCAGGAGTTGGTGCAGAGGCCATGGATTGTTCATCATGCTTTCTTATAGAACCCAGACCACCAGCCCAGGAATGGCACTGGACTATCCCCTATCAATAACTAACTAATAAAATGCCTTATAGCTAGATCTTATGAATACATTTTCTCAATCCAGGTTCCCTCCTTTCAGATAAGCTTAGCTTGAATGTTAAGGGCATAAAACCAGCCAGCACACCTCCATATGCTCATATGTGTGAATGGTTGGTCCACAGTTAGTAAAAGTTTTGGAGAGGATTAGGAGGTGTGGCCTTTTTTGGAAAAGCCCACACCAGGCCCAGTCTCACTCTCTGACTCCAGTTATGCATCAAATGTAAGCCCTCAGCTCCTGCTCCAGAGGCTTGCCTGCCTGCCTGCTGCCATGCTCCCTACCATGATGCTCACGGACTCAGCCTCTGAATCTATAAGCAAGTCCCCAATTAAATGCTTTCTTTTGTAATTTGTCTTGCTCCAGGTGTCTCTTCACAGAGAAAAAAAGGTAACTAAGACAGCACACATGGAACAGAGACAGACTTAGAGAACATCCCATTCAAATTCTATAGGGAAGTGACAACCACAGCTGAGAAAGGGACAGAGATGCTCCTGGGCTGCAACACTGCTTCCCTGAGGGAGTAATGAAGAGAACACAACAAAAACAAACCTGTGGCAGGACCAATGTTTTCAAGACAACTGCTGGCTCATGTTGTAGCAATGAGGAAGACTTCAGTCTAGGCAAGGGGTACTGATGGAATGACTGTGTTCGCTAGTTTTCTGTAGCTGTGATAGAACACCATGACCAAGGCAACTTATAGGAGGGCTTTATTTGGCTCATAGTTCCAGCAGGGTGAGAATCTGTTGTCACATGGAGAAACAGCAACAAGCATTAGGAATGACAGCAGGTGCAGAAGTTGAGGTTCCACATCCTGAGCTTTAAACACAGAGCAGAGAGCACACTGCTAATAGTACAAGGCTCCAAAACCTCAAAGTCCATCCTGTCTTCAACAAGGACACATCTCCTCCGCTTCCCCTAACAGTGCCATCAACTGGGGACCAAGTGTTCAACTACCTGAGACTATAGGGGACATTGTCATTTAAACCACGACAGTGACTGCATTAGATACCAGTTTTATTCCCTTGCCTAGTTGCTTGCTAGGTAGTAGACAATTTCTCAACTTTTTATAAAGCACCTAAGTATCATCTTGGGGACAAGCACACTGATCCATAGGTCAAAAAATAAATGAATAAAATAACATTTATTTATTTGTGGGTGGAAGACAGATGTGGTCCCACCATGATTATCTGCTGTACCAAGGGTCTAGCAACATGGCAGTTGTGATGTGAATGAGGACTATCTCCCACAGGTTCATGAATCTGAACACTTGGTGTTCAGTTGATGGTGCTTTTTTGGGAGTTTATATAAATTTTAGGAGGTACAGCCTTGCTGAAGGAAAGTACTTTATCAGGGGCAGGCTTCGAAAGTTTATAGCCTTGCTTAACTTCCTGTACCCTACCCCACTTCTAGGAGGATTAAATGTGAATTCTCTACTTCCTGTTCCTAATGCCATACCTTCCTAGCCACCATTGAGGACTCTAGTCTTCATGGTATTTTGTCACAGTAACTACTACAATGGCCAGCCCATCATGAGTTAAAACCTTCAAAATGGTGAGTCAAAAGAAACCCTTTCTCTCTGTAAGATGATCACCTTTAGCACTTATTCCTGGGACAGAAAATTCACTAGCACACCCTTCATCACCTAAACATATGCCCGAGATGTTCCTCAGATGCCTAAAATCAGACAGCACCAAACACTACATAAACTATATTCTTTCCTGTAGGAGTGAACCCCACAAAGCTATCCGCCCAACAGGGTGGGGACAAGTAAATTAGCACAGGTAGAGATAAAAGGAAGAGAAAGGAAAAGGACCTCCCTTTTCTCCTGGAAGCCAGGCACGCTTCTAACTCCTGGTCTGTGTGACTCTCTCTCTCTCTGGTAAATAAATATATTGTTTTCCATATATAACATCGAATATCATTATATTTCCTATCTCTAATACCTCTGGCAAAATTGACCTCATAACTGACAGACAGTAAGAAATCAACAGCAGTAACAGCAAAGCAGATTGTTGTAACATTACCCTGTGATAAGCTATTTAAACAATTGTTTACTTCTGGAGTTGTTCATTAAATAGTTTTGAACTACAGCTATCAATGGCTAAGACAAACAAACAAATAATCAAAAGAAAAACCAGGTAGAGAAACTTCAGATAAAGGAACACAAATATGTCACACATTTAAG